GTTATGGAGCGTGTTCCGTGTTGTTATGGAGCACGTTCCGTGTTGTTATGGAGCGTGTTCCGTGTTGTTATGGAGCACGTTCCGTGTTGTTATGGGGCGTGTTCCGTGTTGTTATGGAGCGTGTTCCGTGTTGTTATGGGGCGTGTTCCGTGTTGCTATGGGGCGTGTTCCGTGTTGTTATGGGGCGTGTTCCGTGTTGTTATGGAGCACGTTCCGTGTTGTAATGGAGCGTGTTCCGTGTTGTTATGGGGCGTGTTCCGTGTTGTTATGGGGCGTGTTCCGTGTTGTTATGGAGCACGTTCCGTGTTGTTACGGAGCGTGTTCCGTGTTGTTGTGGAGCGTGTTCCGTGTTGTTATGGAGCACGTTCCGTGTTGTTATGGAGCGTGTTCCGTGTTGTTATGGAGCACGTTCCGTGTTGTTATGGAGCGTGTTCCGTGTTGTTATGGAGCACGTTCCGTGTTGTTATGGGGCGTGTTCCGTGTTGTTATGGAGCGTGTTCCGTGTTGTTATGGGGCGTGTTCCGTGTTGTTATGGAGCACGTTCCGTGTTGTTATGGAGCACGTTCCGTGTTGTTATGGAGCGTGTTCCGTGTTGTTATGGAGCACGTTCCGTGTTGTTATGGAGCACGTTCCGTGTTGTTATGGAGCGTGTTCCGTGTTGTTATGGAGCACGTTCCGTGTTGTTATGGGGCGTGTTCCGTGTTGTTATGGGGCGTGTTCCGTGTTGTTATGGAGCACGTTCCGTGTTGTTATGGGGCGTGTTCCGTGTTGTTATGGGGCGTGTTCCGTGTTGTTATGCAGCTTGTTCCGTGTTGTTATGGGGCGGTGTTCCGTGTTGTTATGGAGCGTGTTCCGTGTTGTTATTGCAGCGTGTTCCGTGTTGTTATGGAGCGTGTTCCGTGTTGTTATGGAGCACGTTCCGTGTTGTTATGGAGCACGTTCCGTGTTGTTATGGAGCGTGTTCCGTGTTGTTATGGAGCACGTTCCGTGTTGTTATGGGGCGTGTTCCGTGTTGTTATGGAGCACGTTCCGTGTTGTTATGCAGCGTGTTCCGTGTTGTTATGGAGCACGTTCCGTGTTGTTATGGGGCGTGTTCCGTGTTGTTATGCAGCGTGTTCCGTGTTGTTATGGAGCACGTTCCGTGTTGTTATGCAGCGTGTTCCGTGTTGTTATGGGGCGTGTTCCGTGTTGTTATGGGGCGTGTTCCGTGTTGTTATGGAGCGTGTTCCGTGTTGTTATGGGGCGTGTTCCGTGTTGTTATGGGGCGTGTTCCGTGTTGTTATGGAGCGTGTTCCGTGTTGTTATGGAGCACGTTCCGTGTTGTTATGCAGCGTGTTCCGTGTTGTTATGGAGCACGTTCCGTGTTGTTATGGGGCGTGCACCGTGTTGTTATGGAGCACGTTCCGTGTTGTTATGGGGCGTGTTCCGTGTTGTTATGGGGCGTGTTCCGTGTTGTTATGGGGCGTGTTCCGTGTTGTTATGGGGCGTGTTCCGTGTTGTTATGGGGCGTGTTCCGTGTTGTTATGGAGCACGTTCCGTGTTGTTATGGAGCACGTTCCGTGTTATAACGGAGGGCATTTCGCGTTGTTATGGAGCGTGTTCTGTGTTGTTATGGTGCGTGTTCCGTTATAAATGGAAGAACCGCGTGCTCCAGCGAGAACGCATTGTAGTGTGAACAAACCGCACGTCAAGTGATGACTTATTGTATTTCTTAATTGATAGAAGGAACGCACCCCAAAAAAAAACAATTTGGGGGCAAAGTCACGCCCAATTATTCCATACAGTATATGGGCCTGAATTATTTTGTACAGAATTTATCATTAAATCTGTTTCGGATACAATTGTTCCCTGTTAACAGTGCAGGCACCGAGCCATTTCCTGGCTCTCGGTCGAGCCAGGCGTTCCTGGTGCAGCCCTCAGCCGCATTGTGACCACAGCATCAGCTGCTCGGTGAGATGGGGAGATAGTTTGCCTTTTCCAGTGGCCTGTGCGCCGTACGTAACGTGCAAACGATCTGCTTTGAGATTTGTAGTCATCAGCTCCGCTCGGTTATTTCTGATGAAACAGAGAGCATGATAAATCAAGGAACTCGGACACTGGAGCATAAACCACACGACCTCTCTGTGGACAACCCCACTGTAAAGGCTTCCCCTCTCCCCACCCGCTGTGAAAACGGACGCTTCTCCTTCGTGCAGCAAGTACGGCCACGTTTGTCGCGGCTATTATTTCGTGAAATTCTGTTCACGAAAGTGAATAGGCCGCTGAGGTGGCCGGATGTGGTCAAAAGTCAGAGCGCTGAACCGACACTGCTGACAGCCCTGGGTTTAAATATGAGTTTTGAGCCGCAGTCGATCGTTAAACCGGCTTCTCCAGTGCAGCGAGTTGGTGGTCTCAACCTGGTCACCGGTGACTTACAGACTCGCATCGAGACCCATAGACTCACGTAGACTGAATTGTGATTAAGCCAGGTTTCTCAAGTGTCCGTGGGTTTATAGTCTCAACCTGGTCACCGGTGACTTACAGACTCGCATCGAGACCCATAGACTCACGTAGACTGAATTGTGATTAAGCCAGGTTTCTCAAGTGTCCGTGGGTTTATAGTCTCAGCCTGGTTACCGGTGACTTACATAGAGACTCTGGTGTAGGCCAATCAGTTTCAAGGACAATGCATACGTGATTTGAAGCTTTCGTGCCTGCAGGAATCCATACTGTTTGGCTCTTTCGGTAAAGTCACGTAGGTAGACATAAAATAAAATAAAACAGCTCTCCCGCCGAGTTCAGCATTTTCTTGCTGTGGTTGTCCCACCTGATGAAGATCGCTTGTGTTGCGATTGAAACGTCGTGATTTGTTTTATTTTATTTTATTTCTACCGACGTGACTTTACCGAAAGAACCAAAGAGTAGAGAATGCATACACGATCAAAGCTTACTTGTTTGCATGTTTCATCGCAAGTACTGTGTGTGGTTAATGCAGACTTCAAGCCTCGTAATAGGGTGTGTCTGTGGGTCTTTGAACACCTCCTGGATTATTCCAGTTATGGTGAAGCCGTATTTTTGTTTCATCTTAATACTTCGAAAAAGGGTCCCATAGATGAGCCCCAAAATACCCTCGAGGGTCTAGAGAGGGCCCCCCCCATTGAGCTGCCCCTAGTGGAGACCCCTTCCGCCAACAGTGAGGTAAGCAGGCAATTTCAGGGCTGCACTTTTACTTTCCAAAAAAAACGTAAGGAAACTTTAGGTTTTTTTTACAAACTTGTGTGATTCACGCGCGGTATTGGACACGGTGACGCACGCATCTCGAACAACAACAACAAAACCTGAGCCAGCAGGAACTGAAATCCGAATCCCATGCTCAATGGCGACGTTGCTGCAGAAGCGCTGTAAACACTTCAGCCGCAAGACAGCTGTCGTGTGAAAAGCCCAGATTAGCACGGTTGGCTACGTACGGCGCGAAGGAAGTTCAAAAGTACGCACGTACAAGAGAGGCGGACGTGGAGTGTCCACGTTCAGAGCTGCCGTCTAGTGTCCAAACGACCGGGTTATCATTTCCGCTCAACGCGCACCAACAGGGCGCTTGGTTAGCCACGATCTGACTATATTTGGTGCGCTCATAAAATGTATCAGAAGGCACGGGCGTGGTTGCAATGTGCAGTACACTGAGGTTGCGATAGATTCTCTGCGTTTTAACCAATTGGAGCCTCATGCTATGAACCCGGCGAACTGATGGCAGCCGTGGCCGGGAATCGAAATGATGCCTGGTTCAGGCCACAGTGCGCTAACCATCGCGTCGACCGCTCCACCCAATCGGGATGCCGTCTTACCCCTAAGTGGGTTTCTTGCCCATTGACAGCAATTTGGATCAGATTCCCTCCGTTCTGTCTCTTTTTTTATTCCTCATTTCACTGTACAGACCGCCCCCCCCCCCCCCCCCCCCAACATCCCTGACCCTCTCGGAACTTCCTTCACATCAAGCATTCGCCTCTGAGAAACGTGCTCATGCACGCCTCAAGAGTGACCTCTGAGATCCGTGCAAGTGACAATAGGCACACATTATGAGACCTCCTTTGCAAAGGAGGTCTCATAATGTAAATGCTCACCCCGAGCCCTCAATACTCTGATAGTGCGCTGTTTTTGAGTTGTACGCCTTTTGGCGTCTTCTGGTCCAACACCAATGGAGACTAGGCTCTAAGAAAAGCTGTCTCGGGTGTGGACCAATCAAATTCAAGGACAGTGCATATTATTATCAGAGTTGTCTTTTTTGTTTGCATTTTAACTGCTTGTGGTGTGGTTATTGCAAACATGATGCCTTTAATAAAGGTGTCAGTTTTTGTGCCAGTTAAAAAGGGTAAAACCTATTCCAATAGGCACACACTGTAGTGGACAGCACTTTCCCACCCATCCTGCCACTGAGAGTGACGTTTGTATCGCATGCGAATGAAACTGATATATATATTTGTTACAATTCTCAGAGCAGGAATTCAGACAAATTAAGTGTGAAACCAAATTGAGATGATGGCAGTGATGGGTGACCAGGCTGAGACCATCAACTCACCAGGACTAGAGAACCCGGTTATAATCGTGGGCGGCTGTAACTTGGATTCAAATCCAGGTCCTCAGCGCTCTTACCTCTTAGCCATCCGGCCACCTCCTCCAAAGAGACAACCCGATATTTTGTCAATGGATTACTCCTGGGTTATGCGTGCGTTTTCCCATTCACCGCGAGTTCATGACGTTGACTGCGCACTGTTACTTTTGTGAGCGAAACTTAGTGACGACAATAATTGTTAACTTTCTTATTGTTGTTGTTTAAGTCGACGGTGACCGTGAGTGGAGGGAAATCATCAAGGCGCGACGACCACTACGACTGCCTCCACAAACGATCAACGCGGGCCACCGCCGACTGTGACAGGAGGAAATGAACTGTGCCATACGCCGCGTAAAGATGCAAGACCCAGAAAAATCGGCGAACGTTCTGATCGGATTACTCCCCCGGTCCTGCTCTAGACCATCATCACTTCTCTCGATCCATTAAATCCACATCTCCAGACCTCCCAATCGTCTCGTAGCATCGTCTCCCAAGAGTCCCAAGTGTCTGCCACAAATAACACTGCACTCCATGCTGGGCTCAAATTGGAACGTGGTACCAGAGGACACCGATGGACAGTGACACAACTGAGTGGCGGTGGTGACATGGCTGACCATTTGGTGCTTGATGCAGAGGTTTCGCGGTTCACACCCAGCGGCTGCCCCTGTTAATTACCGAGCGTGTGTTGGCCGCGAGAATGGCTTAAATGCCCCCCGAGTGTCCTAAATTATGATTATTTTTGGAATAATGAATTCATACTTTTTGCTTCCTAAAAATTTTACCGTCAAAATTTACCAACCCTCTAAGTCCCTGTGGCCGCCCGTGGATCTGCTTTTCTACGTATTCTATTCTCGGTTGCGAAAAGCTTCCTCTGCTGCGGACTAATCTTGCCCACCGTGTAAGGCGAGGGGGTGGGGGGGCGTGGTTCTGTGCGGTGTACTGGCTGGGTACACGAGCGCACGCGCACACGGCCACATGCGTGCGAATCGTTCTTTGGTGCCACAGGTCCACGGCCGCGGTGGTGGACGGGCAAATTCGCGTTCACGCTTGGGGCGGTTGGCTTACAACATGACGCCGTCTGAACGGACCGAGGGCCGAGTTCTGTCGCTCTTCTGCATTGCGGCTCTGCTGTCCGGTGAGAAAAGCGTGACAACGTCCCGCTGTCACGTGTGCGCACGTGATCACATCGAGTGCGCCGTTCGGTTGTGTGCTGGAACGTGTGACTTTGGACGGGTCTGGCCCTCCAGCCGGGCCAAGCCGCTAACCAATCCCCGTGGTCTCTTTGTGGCCGACGGACGTACGGCTTCGTACGTGCCCGCTTGCAAGCGCTGCGGTTAACGTCGCGGGTGAAATAGTGCCAAAGACGCACCGCATGTCAGAAAGTGTCACAGAAGCCATGCATAAACGTGAGCATAGAGGCCACATTGATGTTGATAAGACGCCTCAACGCTGCCCACGGTTCATGGGGAAGGTGCAAGCCAGGAGGGTTCACAGTTGCATCGGACTTGGAGTGTTCATTTTTTTTTACTTGAGCGTTGTTCCAGTCATCTCACCTATGGGCCTGCAGATCCGAGCTATCAGGCACATGTTGGCGACTTCCCAGAAGGGTTTGGGCGACAATTAAAAAGACGTGTGAATCCGCACGTCAGTACGAGTCATTACATCGCCACGAAAACAGTGGTGCTGTGTTTACATCCTCAACTATACTTACACTTGCATTTAATTTCAAGGGAAAAGTCACACGATGTCAAATTATTCGGATTTGTTTCTAAGTTTGACAACTGGACACCCTTTTTTGGAAAAAATCTACTTCCTACGCTTTTTTTTCTTCCCGATCGTGCGTTCCCGGCGTCGCGTTAGTGAAATGAAGCCTCAAACGAATTGACTACGGATGGGTTTTTTTTTACGTGCAGTGATGAGTAACGAGTCTGCAACCATCAACTCACAGGGCTAGAGAGCCCGGTTGTAACCGCAGGCGGCTGTAGCCTGGATTCAAACTCATGCCCTCAGCGCTCTGACCTCTGAACCACCCGGCCGCCTCCTCCGACGAGACAATCTGATATGTTGTCAAGCCATCATTTCTTGGTAAGGCGTGATGGTTTCCCACATATCATAACTTCAAGACCTTGACTGGACACTTTAAATTTTGTTGATGAAATTCGTGACGAACAAAATACGTACTTCTGTGTTATGCACGTTGAACTTATTTCGCACTGTACGTAGCCAACCGTGCTAATCGGATGTACAGTCAGTTCACCTATAACGCGGTACAGTGAGGGAAAAAAGCATTTGATCCCCTGCTGATTTTGTACGTTTGCCCACTGTCAAAGAAATGATTAGTCTATAATTTTAATGGTAGGTTTATTTGAACAGTGAGAGACAGAATAACAACAACAAAATCCAGAAAAACGCATGTCAAAAATGTTATAAATTGATTTGCATTTTAATGAGGGAAATAAGTATTTGACCCCCTCTCAATCAGCAAGATTTCTGGCTCCCAGGTGTATTTTATACAGGTAACGAGCTGAGATTAGGAGCACACTCTTAAAGGGAGTGCTCCTGATCTCAGCTTGTTACCTGTATAAAAGACACCTGTCCACAGAAGCAATCAGATTCCAAACTCTCCACCATGGCCAAGACCAAAGAGCTCTCCAAGGATGTCAGGGACAAGATTTTAGACCTACACAAGGCTGGAATGGGCTACAAGACCATTGCCAAGCAGCTTGGTGAGAAGGTGACAACAGTTGGTGCGATTATTCGCAAATGGAAGAAACAAAAAAGAACTGTCAATCTCCCTCGGCCTGGGGCTCCATGCAAGATCTCACCTCGTGGAGTTGCAATGATCATGAGAACGGTGAGGAATCAGCCCAGAACTACACGGGAGGATCTTGTCAATGATCTCAAGGCAGCTGGGACCATAGTCACCAAGAAAACAATTGGTAACACTACGCCATGAAGGACTGAAATCCTGCAGCGCCCGCAAGGTCCCCCTGCTCAAGAAAGCACATATACATGCCCGTCTGAAGTTTGCCAATGAACATCTGAATGATTCAGAGGACAACTGGGTGAAAGTTTTGTGGTCAGATGAGACCAAAATGGAGCTCTTTGGCATCAACTCAACTCGCCGTGTTTGGAGGAGGAGGAATGCTGCCTATGACCCCAAGAACACCATCCCCACCGTCAAACATGGAGATGGAAACATTATGATTTGGGGGTGTTTTTCTGCTAAGGGGACAGGACAAATTCACCACATCAAAGGGACGATGGACGGGGCCATGTACCGTCAAATCTTGGGTGAGAACCTCCTTCCCTCAGCCAGGACATTGAAAATGGGTCGTGGATGGGTATTCCAGCATGACAATGACCCAAAACACACGACCAAGGCAATAAAGGAGTGGCTCAAGAAGAAGCCCATTAAGGTCCTGGAGTGGCCTAGCCAGTCTCCAGACCTTAATCCCATAGAAAATCTGTGGAGGGAGCTGAAGGTTCGAGTTGCCAAACGTCAGCCTCGAAACCTTAATGACTTGGAGAAGATTTGCAAAGAGGAGTGGGACAAAATCCCTCCTGAGATGTGGGCAAACCTGGTGGCTAACTACAAGAAACGTCTGACCTCTGTGATTGCCAAGAAGGGTTTTGCCACCAAGTACTAAGTCATGTTTTTTGCAGAGGGGTCAAATACTTATTTCCCTCATTAAAATGCAAATAAACGTATAACATTTTTGACATGCGTTTTTTATGGATTTTTTTGTTGTTATTCTGTCTCTCACTGTTCAAATAAACCTACAATTAAAATTATAGACTGACGATTTCTTTGTCAGTGGACAAACGTACAAAATCAGCAGGGGATCAAATACTTTTTTCCCTCACTGTAGTTGTGTTCCTGAAAAACACTGCGTTATGGAAAAATCACGTTATAATATAGGGCAAAGCACAGTCCACGATAACATGTGAGATGCGTTCTCAGGCTGAGCAAAGACTGAGCCACTGTGGGTAGCGTCTAGAAGCATCCAGCAGCATCCCGTCCTGTGCTATGTTACGCCAAGGTAGCCGTTACAACCGCTTACTCCTACTCGCGTGACGTAGTTCCGTTCATTCAATCGTGTTATAGCCATACTCTTTGGTTCTATTCGGTAAAGTCACGTAGGTAAAAATAAAATAACAAAAATCATTTTATGTTTTACCTACATGACTTTACCGAATAGAACCAAAGAGTATGGATCCTTGCAGCCACGAAAGCTTCAAATCTAGAATCGTGATTTAAAGCTTTCGTGACTGCAGTAATTCATATTCTTAGCTCTTTCGGTAAAGTCACGTTGAAGGGAAACAATAAAATAATATATATAAAACAATAAAAATTCTCACGACGTTATGGTCGAAACGTCGTGAGACTTTTTATTGTTTTATATATATTTTATTATTTTATTGTTTCCCTTCAACGTGACTTTACCGAAAGAGCTAAGAATATCTAGAATCGTGTTATAGCCAATTCGCGTTATGAAGACACGCTGCGTTGTAGGAGAACGGCCTATACCACCCACCCCACACCTAAGTGCTTATTGTAGTTTTAGCCGATGGTGACCATGAGTGGACGGAAATAATCAGGCGTGACGACCACTACGATTGCTTCCACGAACGATCAAGGCCTGACACCGCCGACTGCGACAGAGGAAATGAACTCCATACGCTGCATGAGGATGCAGACTCAGATAAGTAACGTTTATTTGGTGCATTGAGGAAGACCAAAAATGGAAAGGAAAATACAAGTACGTACACAATACAGTAAAACCTCGTTATTTCGGTATTTGACCATTGGGGATAACTTGGCACGGCCGCGCCTTCGGCATATATACAGTGTTACTAATTCGCCATGAGCCGAAATGCCTTTCCGAATGGTCCAATTTCGGCATGCACGTGGTGCGTCGCCGCGCGCCACGACCAAAACAACGACTCAGCCTGATGGCGGAGCACGTGGTGAGCATCAGTGCAGACCCGTCGCTTTGGACTTGCACTCCGTGCAAGCCAACCCTCTCAGAAATGTCCTCTACATCCACCTCGACAAGTAATGGAAAGGGACTGAAGTATGAATCCCTTAGTCTGCGAGACAAATAAAAAGTTTTGGATATAATTGATGCAGGGTGTGTGTGTCAATGCGTATGGTGTGTGGGTGGCTAAAGCACAGCAGGTTGGCACAGTAGGGGGCACAGGTGGTGCATCAGCCACCCATCTCAGTCATCTCAGTCAGTCGACCCGTGGCACCTGGGTCTGCCCCGTGACCTCCTGCCAGGGGGCGTTCGACACTTCACGTGGCCTCAAGGTGCACATTGCCTGGCACAAGCGTCGTGGTGACGTCACTGCCACTTAGTGGCGAATGGCGGTTGTTGTGGTGTGTGAAGAGTTTGGAAAACATTTAATTTAATTTTTATTGGGGCAGGAGGCACTGGTAAGTACCATTGTACATATTTCGGAATATTGGATAATTCGGCAAGGCCAGAGCCCCATATGTGTCGAATATAGTTAACCTATTGGCTGACGGGATAGCACTGCTTAGCCAATGGCGAGATGTTATCTCCCTCACCTGGTATACAGGAGGTCGTGAGTTCGATTTTTACCCTGACGCCTGCATATTTGGAGTTTGCATGCTCTCCCCATCGCTGTGTGGATTTTTCTCCGGGTGCTCCAGTTTTTCCCTCCATATTTAGAAACAACACGCGTTTCAAGATTTTGCCTGCTATAAATTTCCACATGATGATAAGCCACTTCGTTGAGCTATAATTTGTGATGGACAGGTCGCTTCTGACAAAGAGCTATATAGCTCAGTGGGCCTTACCTGGTAAAATTAAAAATATATAGTTATAGTATTGTGAACGTGAAAATTACATGCCCCTCACACCAACAGTGAACAACGCATAGTGGACTAAATGCTTTCCTAGATGAGCCAAAGGGGACGACTCAAGCGAAATCCACAGACTGAGACCCGACCAACTTTCCACAGGTTATCCATAACAGAAGTTGTTTTGGGTTAGATCGCGTAAATATGTGTCATTACACAAATATAAATGTATAAACCTCGATTTAAAGCTTTCGTGACTGCAGGGATTCATCTTCTTGGTTATTTCGGTAAAGTCACGTAGAATGGAAATAAAATAAAAATAAGACGTAATAAAATAAAATTCTCACGACGTTTCGGCCACAACACAAGTGGCTACTTGTGTGGCTACGTGTGTTGTGGCCGAAACGTCGTGAGAATTTTATTTTATTGTTTTATTTTTCACTTGTGTTGTGGCTGAAACGTCGAGAGAATTTTATTATGTTTTATTTTTATTATTTTATTTCCATTCTATGTGACAACTTTACCGAAAGAACCAAGAAGACGTATAAACCTCTATTATGGAAAATACTGGTCGCGAAAGCCTACGTGTTAAACTGTTCCACAGGTTGTCATTTGCCAGACGATATTTGATCAAACATTTTTGTTAAAACACTGCATAGTACAGCGATCGCTCAACAAAAATGTATCCCAATGCTTTTAATGCAACTTGTAGGTGCGATTGAGAAAGCACGTGTGTGTGGGCCAGCAAAAACCCCACATGGTTATCGCAGTGTCTGCGCGCAACACTGCCAAATGTTTAGCAGTGATAAGGTCCCCAGGGAACACCCCGTTTCTCTCAGGCGCCATCGATCGTCGTCCTTGAGTACGTGTGGCTTTAAAACGCACACGCGAGATTTTGTGCGTGTGTTTACATTTTTAAAAAATTAAGAAATTGCAATATTTTTTTTAGGTAGTCGCGTGATGAGAACATTCGCGGCTGCCGCAGCGAATGTTGCACCTCGGTTAGAATCCGGGTTCAAGCACTACGCTGCTCAGAGCAGGACCTTACTACGACTCTCTCAGCCTCGGCTCTTGCACTTGACGCTGAGCCGGGGTGACGCCTTCTCAAGCGTTGCCCCAACGATCTGGAACGCCTTTGCCGGCGGTGATCCGGCACACGCGACGAGCCTCGGTGTGTTTAGGAGGGAGTTGCGAGTCTCACTATTTTCCTGTGGCTTTTACTTAAACATGACTTGATTGTCTTTGCATTTTATTTTAGTGTGCAGTGTTTTGATATGCCCCCTTGAGTGGAGGTGATATTACATTGAAAATAAATACGGTTTACGATTTGCTTTGAAACAATGCTAGACTGTGTTGACAAAAAAAACACCGTCAAAGTGAATACTAAACAATTACCCCGGTCGATTATATTGTCACGTAAAGCTTGCAATGCCACAGTTCCTCCCGTCGTAATTAACAATCATTATCTGCCACAGTAACAAAAAAGAAAATGCTTGGCACAACCGTTCCATCTAAGTTGACGTGGGATGTCCGTGCATTCGTAATCTGACTGCCGAGGCAGCAGGCTTGAATGTATTTCCTGTGTCCAAATCCTTCTTTAACTCTGACGAAATATCACCAAATTGCTCACCCCAGTTTCCGCCTCACTGGACTTCATTCAACATAGACCGGGGAGGTGGGTAGGGAAACAAAACAACAACAAGAGCCATATTTGCTCGAATTTTTTTTTTTAAACCTCATTATTTCAAGAGCCGCAAGGCACCGTGTGCTCGATACGAGAGAGACGGCGGCGGGCGGGCCTCAATAAACGACATCACGAGGCTGGCCATTAAAGGGACGCCGGAAGCCACAGGTTGCCGACCCCCTGAATATCGATCCGTCAGGGTGATTGTTCCACTGCAGTAACTCGCTCACCGGCAGCCGGTCGCCTACTCATCGCTCTTCTATCGCTGCTACGGCGAAATCGGCAAAAAAAACCGCTCCAAAGGCTGTAACCAGGTCCAGCGATCGGCAGCCATGTGCGTGACAACAAAAAAAAGTAGCAATGCTTGATTTCAGCGTTAGATATTTTATACGGTACATTGTACACTGCATACAACTTGAACAATTAAAATACTGCACGTATATACATCACCCCACGATGCAGTCTTCGAGATTGGAGTGGTAAGTACGGCACAGTAAATATACATTCTTGCACATTCTTGCATAACGTAATGTTATGCAAGAATGTGCACAAATTTTGCCGTTTTAAATAGTGACGATGTAGTGATTATCTGCCGTTTTTCAAACTCCGACGCCCCCGGTGAGAAAAATAGTGCCCACGTCCTAGGTTGCGCTGGAGTGAAGAATCAGAAAAATAAAATACTAACGTGTGCTTTTGGCACTGCGATAAAAATAATAGCCACTTTATTAAATAACAGCCACCTCTGTCCACCACCCAGCAGTATATCTGGACTCTAATTGTGTACACCGCAGTTTATGGACAGGAGGGTCGGTGTCTCCACGGCTACTCCCACCACTTCCAAGACGTCCGGCCCGGTGTGTGTGGAAGAGTGGCCCCAAAATACCCCCGAAAGGGATAACCCTCTAGCGCTTACCACCGGCGAAGACCCATTCCCGCCAGCGCTGGCGCGGGCGCGCACATTAGGGCCACGTGAACGTCGTGGCACCGCACGAAAGAGGCGTCTTAGCGCGCACTCGGAGCGCCTCGCACTGACGTCTCCAATATTCGGAGGGGCACCCCCCGCGGCAGCTGGCCCCGCGCGGCACAAAGCAGCTCAGCACCGGCCCCGTCTGTCAGTAAGGGCGGGCAGGGCGGGGGGGGCGACGATTACAATGTGTAATCCCAATTGAGTAACTGACTAGCCATACTCTTTGGTTCTTTCGGTAAAGGCACGTAGGTATAAAATGAAAGAAATCACGACGTTTCGATTGCAACACAAGCAAACATCATCAGGTGGGAAAACTACAGCAATAATTGTTTTTTTTTTTGTTGAAGTGGGAGAGAGAGCTGCCGTGGTAAGAGGTTATATAGGTAAGAGAGGGGGGAGGGGCAAGGGGGGAGAGAGATGGGGGAGGGTGTGGTTTTCCCACCTGATGATGATTGCTTGTGTTGCAATCGAAACGTCGTGATTCATTTAATTTCCTACCTACGTGACTTTAACGAAAGAACCAAAGAGTATGGATTCCTGCAGTCACGAAAGCTTCAAATCTAGATTGACTAGCCGGAGTGTACCCATGTATATATGCCGCGGCGTGGTGAATTTAAGACAATGTCCTTGCTGTGTGAAATGCCTGTCGATTGCAGCCACTGTGGCAGACCAGGCCTGCCAAAGCTACCCTACACCTGCAAGCGCAACTCTGGGAGGCAGCGTCGACCTCCCCGCGAATAGTTCAATCAGCGGAATCGATGAAGTGGAACTCGTCTATAATAAAAATGGCACATTAAATCGTCTTTTCTCCTGGCACAAAAACGGGAGCGTACCATCGCGCCGGGCCCGGCAGAAGTACGCTTTCGAGAATGCGACGTTGCGCATTCGAAATATAGCCGCCAACGACACTGGAGCTTACGAAATTGCTTTCCACAACTCTCTTTACATACACCGTTGGTGCTTCAGGCTAAGTATTGCTGGTAAGTACAAAGACAAAGATCCCCCGTGGAGCCTTAACAGACAGTCGGGGCAAGTGCCAGCGAGTAGCGCCTATGAAGGCCGACACGGCACACGATGGGGTCGGTGGCCAGCACCACGCCCGCCCGCCTTTGTCTCCCGAGTGGCGATGTTTACACACCGCAACAGGTACTCATTTGAGGCCGAGTCTACCTAGGGGAGGCCCAGGACCGGCCGTGCGCGGGTTTCGAACCCGGGTCGCAAGGTTCGTCGTGCAGCCACGCGAACCACCACACACACATCACAAATACTCATTCTAACAGATGTCACAGATCGCGTCTCTCGCACGGGAAGAGGCAGGGCGCTGACACTCGAGCGAAAAGTCACTTTGACCGATTAAAAAAACAAAAAAAATACATCGGTTACTTTAGCCATGAGATAACTCGGCTTTTCCTGCCACCGCTGTCTTGCCACCCCCAGGGGAGCACCCCCCCCACTCCCCTTTCGCCAAGTCGCTCTGACCGGCGGTGTGAGGAAGCCGACGGTCAAACAGCGGTGGCACTGACACAGAGAGAGAGAGAGGGGGTGGGTGCCGTGTACATGCAACGTCTGGCCGGACTCTCTCCCTCTATTTGCGGGGAGTTTGAGCGCCGCTATTCGTGGCTCCACGTGTCCACGGCGCGTGTGTTTGTGTGTTTCCCTTCAGTACCTCCATCGCCATTTGACGACAATTCCTACCCAGGAGGTGGCAATGCCTCAAGAACAAAGACGCTTGCGTTTATTTCCATGGGCGCGGTAGTTTGCGTATTGGTCATGTCAGCCGCAGGAGTCGCCTTCTACAAAAGCAGTCGCCTGGGATGCAAGATCACCAGTCAAGGTGCTTCGCGTGTTTGCAACTTAAACGGGCACGCTTGCGTCTTCAACGCCCGCGAAAGTTGTCTCTATTCTATTCTGGATTTATAAAGCGCCTTCGTAAAGGCGCTTGACAACGCTACGGTACAAAATGGCAAGAGAAGGGATGGAGATGGGGTAAGTGACCAGGGGTGGAGTGAGCGAGGTGGGAGGCTGCGGCGGTGGAGGCGTTCGGGGCGTTAGGTGGTGCAGGTAGGGCTGGCGGAAGAGGAAGGGGAAAAGGTGACAATAGATAGGACCTGAGGGCAGTGCGAAAAGAGGAAAGCGATGAGAGTCGGATGTGGAAAGGGAGTTTGTTCCAGTCCTGCGCCCTGTGGCAACCTCTGGCTAAAACTCCCTGCATCCTCTCCGTCCTTGACGATTCTTCGTTTCACCATATGACCTCCCTTCAAGATGTCGAGCGGCATCTATCTCTGTCTCTTGGCCTCTTACCGAACATCCGAATTTCATTATGATGATGATCTTTTGGCTAAACAATCGGAACAAAGACAGTCACTGTGTCGCGAGCTTTCAGATGGCGCTTCTGCGGCCGTCTGGAACGCTCTTCCTTCCGATATTAGGAAGCCACTGGAGCTATGCACTTTCAAATCGAGATGGAAAACTCATTTCAATAGAACCGCTTTTTGTGTTAATTTTGCTGTCCTTCCCCCACACCTCCGATTGTCACGGTTGGCTACGTACAGTGTAAAGAAGTTCAATATACATACAATCCTTCCCGAACTTCCTTCATTGAGCTTTCACCTCTGAGAATGTGACCAATCCGTAACTGAAACCTTTTTCTGGCTTTTTTCCAATTCAACAGTTCCCCTTTCTGAGCCTGCTCTGGAGTTTTGTAAATTCTACATTCGGTGCCACACTAATCTCAACGCGTTTTTTCCAGTCCGCTTTACCTTGGGTCGGCTTGCAAACTGATCGGCCCGGCTGTCATCCGATGAACGTCGCTCTCAGGTGGCTAGATCAGGTGGGGAAGTTTTGCCAAAATGTATCGTGAAGTGATCTCAGAGGTGACTCTACGATGTCCGCTTCCGAGTCGAAATCCGCACGGATCCTTCTTCGTCTGCAACGAAACGAGACCAATAGCGCAATCAATCCGGATGAAATTGCGAGAGAGAGAGAGAGAGAAAAGGACAAAGAAAATGTACAAACGGAGGTTCGAGCGCTAACACTCCACTAGGAGGGGATGATGACCGGTGGCCGAGACTGATGCTGGAGCGGCACCCATAGGAGGGGACAGCCACCCTAGAGATGGACTGTTCGTTCACAAGATCACGAGCGGTAGCGGCGGCTTTGGGCAGCCTTCACCCAGCAGTGGATAGACAATGTCTGTCAAGGCCGTAATTATAATATATATTGGGGGGGGACACATTCCCCTCCCCATATTAAAATATGCTCAAAATGCCCCCCCCCCCCAATATATTGCAATAAAATAGATTCCTGTTGATATGATTGTGGTTATGGTTGTACTTTATTCATCCCTAATTTCTGCCATTACATACAATGAAACAAGAAAAGGTAAAAACGAAAAAAACAGAGCAATGTAATACAATACACCATTAGACATTATTGTCAAAAATAAAGAAAAAGTCCATCCTACGCGTTAGTGATTTTTATAAATATTTTATATATATATTTTAGGCAGGAAATGGCAGGAAATGAGTTTTCAAATGAAGATATTTTTCTGGGGGGGGGGGGGGGACCCCCAGACCTCCTGGAAGATTTGGTCCCCCCCAATGTTGACTCCGTGGCTACGACCTTGATGTCTGTTGCTGCTGCTGCTGCTGATGATGAAGTACAATCATAAGAGAGGGTTGCGGTATATCTTTAGTGTCGCCTTGTGGAAACGTTCCCCGCTTGCCGATGAAACATCGAAGCGTGCAAATGCATAGCATGAGCGAGAGCAGCTGGCTGTCTTGCTGTGTTCACAGCTGTGGAGGACGATGCTGACCTCGACACGGTGTATAGCACTATTAACGAGGCCCTGACTGTCGAGCACATTGAAATAAAGGAACTTTATTCCGAAGGTAAGAGCAATTATGAACTGCCAAGCAAAGACAAAGAGCCACCCCCCCCCCCCCCAGGTATAGCCTTAACAGACTGTAGGGGCAAGTGCTGTTAGCGAGCACCTATGAAGGCCGGCACGGCGCACGTGGGGGTGGTGGCCAATACCACGCCCGGCCGCCTTTGTCTCCCCAGTGGCGATGTTTGCACACCGCACCAGGTACTCATTTGAGGCTGACTCGACCTAGGGGGGCGGGGGGGGCAGGACCGGTTCGGATAATCGCCACTGGTGTTGCCCGTGAGCGGCAATCGAACCCGGGTCGCCGTGCTCGTTAGCGCAATGCGCTAACCGCTACAACACTACCGCTCCCCACAACTGCTAAACACACGCACGCACCCCTTAACTACTGCACTCTGGAATGGCCACGTGGCTTTCACTTCTAATGTTGTGGGGGGGGGGGTGGGGGAAGGGGGTTCTAGTTTTTGGTGGTGCCTCGATCATGGCGAGGCGATAATCCACCCAGCATCTGCACTCAAGCTGCAGTGATGAGATCAGCTCGCGTGTGGCTGGCTGCTGCCCAGGTGGATTGCAGGCCCCCACCCCTTACCCCCCCCCCCCCCCCAGGTCAATGGCATTGCCGGGGTTCGGTTTGTGCGTTACATGCGGCTAACCTATTTCGACCAAAAATTCGCTCTGCTACGCGGTTTGAATTCACGCGTGCTGCGGCTGTGTGGTCGGACGTGGGACTATGTGTGTGTGTATGTGTGTCTACCGTGGGGAGCGGTGGTGCAGCGGTTAGCGCACTTCGCTACGAACCGGTGGCGATTATCCGAACCGGTCCTGGGCCTTCAATAGATCAACTCGGCCTCAAATGAATACCTGGTGCGGTGTGTAAAACATGGCCACTAGGGAGATGCAAGCCGCCGGGCGTGGTGTTGGCCACCCACCCCCTCGTGTGACACACTTCCGGCCTTAATAAGGTGCTCGCGAACAACATCCAGCAGTAGATTGATCATGACTGCTACCGCTGCTCCTAAGTGATATCTGAATTCGCCCGCCACCCCCCATCCCACCCATTCACCAACCCCCACTGACACGTCTGGTGAAGTATGGTCAAATAAACCCCGCCCCCCATGGGTAACGTTAAGTGGGGATAGGGGGGTGGAAAGATTGTGACAAGAGGGCTGAATGTATGCGTTTGGCTAAATGTGTGGAAACTTCTGACACAATCGCAGGCGGCAACGGTGCGGGTAGGGGAGGCCTCTTGCCCCACACTTGGCGAACGAGGTGGTGCAGGGTGATAACCAAGAGCCGATTGGCATTTAAACTCGTAAAGGGTGTCATGAGCGGAGAGCGCGATGGCGCAACGGTTCGCAACGCTGCCCTGGGTTCAGATCCTGCCCACGGTTAAAATGGGTGGCGAGTGATATCCAAACCGATCCTGGGCTAAATCATGGGATAGCTTTTTTTTCCCCAGTAAAAAATATAATGTGTTTCACCCTTTTTGGCATTAAAACAGGAGTTGTGTTAAGATGGTCGAACATCAAATACTGTAGCAACCTTTTGCAAGGGATAAAGTGACTGCATTAACCACACACGGTACTTGTGCTGAACATGCAAAGAAAAACATGCTCTGGTAACATACGCATGGTCTTTGAAACTGAATGTCCTACACCAGAGACGGACATCTCATTAAAGAAGCCAATGCATACATTATCAATTAATATTTCTTACCAGAGCATGTTTGTTTGCATGTTAACCACAAGTGCGTGTGCTCACTGCAGACTTGATTCCTGGCAAAAGGTTGCTATTTGGTGTTTGAACATCATAACACCTCCTGTTGTATTGCCAGAAAGAGTGGTGAAGTATGGTGAAGTAAGCCGAATGACAGAAGGATAATCTTGATTTTTGTCTTGGTTTTTTTACAGTCTTTCAGGCTAAAACGAATTCGCCTTATGAATATGCACAGGTAGACGGAGACATAATCAGGAATGCGCCTATTGTGAAAAGTGAAGGTAAGTTCGCCACCCACGTAAAAAGAATATGATACATTACATCGCATCGTACGCACGGAGCAGCCCTGCAACTGCTGAGAATCAGTACTTAGACTGGAGAAATCCGATGAGCTATGAAGCTCTCTTTTTTGCAGATGTCCAATTTGGCCTACTCTTCTATACTGGCCAGGCAATCCTGCAAGAGGTGGGAGCACCCACAGAAATCTGTATTTTATTGATATTTAGCAACTGCAACAAAACAAATATACATGGAGTGTTGTATTGTTGTAATCGTTAACGTGTAGGGCCAGATCGGGAAGAAAAAAAAAACGCTTGAGTATCGTGGATCGTCCCCCTTTGCGACGTTTCACGATGCACCTCGCAAGTTCGCATTCGCGATGGGGGAAGCATTGGCGGGCAGCGGTGAACAACACCCCCCTGCATTAACCACAAACAGGACTCGTGGTTACCATGCAAACGTGCTCTGATAATTCACTTATGTAACAAAAAATTTGTTCCTGGGTAGTAACTATTATTTCCTAATTGCTTATGCCTGAAAAGTACAGAAAATGGCTGTTATTCCCCACAAACTTTGCTTTTGTGACCAGGACATTGATATTTTGAAATGTACCTATTTTACATGAGAAAACGGGCGAATTTGTGTATTTTCGTTCACACAAAGTCAGAAAAAAACAACATATGAATCAAAATTTACATGTATTCATACTAAAGTAATACAAAAATGACTACACAAGATTTAGAAGTGAGTAGTTTTTCGGGATTTACGATTATACTGTAAATCACTTTCACGAATCAGCCCCCAAATCTCCCATCATGTTCTCGTTATACTGTCCTTGGTAGCGGCGTTCAAAGTCCAGTATATCCTGGTGAAAGCGCTCGCCTTGCTCCTTCGAGTACGCCCCCATGTTTTCCTTGAATTTATCAAGATGAGCATCAAGGATATGGACTTTGAGGGACATCATTCTCACCAGCTCCACATAGTTTTCGACCTTGTGATTGCCCAGGAAGCCACAAACCACTGCGACAAAGCTGTTGCAAGCCGCTTTCTCCTTACTAGTGAGCTTCTTGGGGAATCCATGGCACTCCAGGATCGTCCTTATCTGTGGTCCGATGAAGACACCGGCTTTGACCTTTGCCTCAGACAGCTTAGGGAAGAAGTCTTGAAGGTACTTGAAGACTGCCGACTCCTTATCTTTGGATATTGCAGTAAAGCTTGCAACTGGTTTCAGGTCCTTCGTCTAGGTTTGATGTCCAGACTCCTGCGTATGACGATATAAAGCCACAGATCAACTTGCAGAGCGACGTCAATGCCTTCACCCACGCCAACTCGGACAGTGCCATAACAGACGCCGGTAAGGGGGCAATCGCGCACGGCACGGACATGCGGGCGGACACGGTGGACTTGTGCCGTCACGGACGCCGATGGGAGCGAACGGCAGTTCCATTATTTCGGGCGCACAATTTGGATGTTTTATAGCGGCGGTCCTCCACCCTCATTGCCTTTATTCAACGCGGCGTTAAGAAAGGCGTTTGTGTCACGCTGTGTGTTTGATGCGGTACGGGAGGATGTGGAGCTCAGTGGACCTGCTAGGCGACTGGTAATAGCGGTGTCAAGATTGGCCTCTGTGGAGGAGGCTCGTGAAGGACGCTACTGGGCAGCTGGAGGCAGTCGCCCTCCAACAACAACTGAGGGCAGAGGAGCGACGCTCACAACAACGAACGGAGCGCTGGGCGGATAAAATGCAGCAAGTTGGCACAGTAGCGGGTACAGCTGGTGCATCTACCAGTCATCTCGGTCAGCCAACCCATGGCACCTGGGTCTGTCCCGTGACCTCCTGTCAGCGAGCATTCGACACTTCACGTGGCCTCAAAGTGCACCTGGCCTGGCACAGGCGCCGTGGTGACGTCACCGTCACTTAGTGGCGAATGGCGGTTGTATTGGTATTGGTGTATTTAGACATTTCGCCGGCAACGTGGCGCTATTGTTTACCCCGCGCACGTTCGAAATGTCTCCTGCACGGTGTCCACGCTGCAGTTCGGGACCTCTCCCGACAGGCTAAAGGTGTTCCCAGCACAGAGGGGCAGGATGCCCTTGGGGTTGAGGACCACTTCTTTAATGGCTGCCAAACGTTCCCCTTGGGTTTGCTTTAACGTCTAATATAACGATAAAAAAAATGACTTGTGATGATAATACAAAATTATGCGAAGCTTGTCTGACGGATTTTAACATTTGTGCATTTCCCCCCCCCCCCCCTCCCCCTTTACATTTTAAGAGTCGCCGTACGCTGTCGCAGTGGACTGCCTGAGCCCAGAGGATTCCACGATGGATGTGGTCACAGTCAAAGGAACGTCACAGTTATGAGTGTCCGCGAATGGCTGCCAATAGCTCGCGTCGCATGTGGCGGTGCGTCGTCACGTACGCGCGCGCGGGATGGCATGGCGCAGTCGGCAGTCCGTGGGGCGGCCAGAGTCAAAATCTGTACCCACCGAGAGTAGCAAATCGTTCGGCCTATTACTCGATAATCCCACTACCCCCTCCGCCCCCCCAACCCGTTTCAAATGGTCATCACATAAATCGCCATCGTTGGTCGGGTGAATAAATTGGAACCATTAAAGTGATGCCACCCCAGGTGGTGGCCGACGAGTGATGAGATACCAGTATGGTCTGGGCCTGTGGACCCACACGGCCTGGTCCCACATGGCCTGGTCCCGCATGGCCTGGGTCCCCATGGCCTGGTCCCGCATGGCCTGGGTCCCCATGGCCTGGGTCCCCATGGCCTGGTCCCGCATGGCCTGGGCCACAGGCGAGAACAGACGCGGTCGATTCCAAGTCCGGCGCAACGTGAGCGACACGTAACCCCGGTCTCGATGCCAATCCCGAAGACAGTGTCGTAGATGCGCGAGATCCCTTTCTACAGTGCAACGTCGCATATGTCCAACTCGCAAGGCGCCGGAGGTATAGGCGGATGTTGTGAGATGGTCGGATATGTTGACATCTGTAGGCGACGGCGGTTGCACCACCCGTACACACGAAGGTGACTGGACACAGTTGAAAGTGCCCAACTGCTTTAAACATGGGGAAATGCTTTGCAGCACTGTACTTTTAACGGAACACATTCGTTAACAACAATGTGTGGCTTTAAAGGAAAAATATATAATAGACGACGTTTTGGGCAATGGCCCCCTCTTCATAGTACATAAACGACATTGAAAAAGGGTCATCACCTGAAACGTCACCTTATGAAAAAAGCATTTTTTTTTTCAGCCATAGTTGTTGTTGAGGAATGTGTAGAGTTGCTTACGTTGCATTTGTGCACCACTGTCAACCCAGCAGCCATCACCAGATGATTTGTTCAATGTCTGTGTTTATGTTGAACTTCTTTCGCACCGTACATAGCCAACCGTGCTAATTGAAGGTGCGGGGTAAGGACAACGAACTAAACACGAAAAGTAGTTCGAAAGAAATGAGTTTTCAATCTAGATTTCAAAGTGCATAGCTCCAGTGGCTTCCTAATATCGAAGGGAAGAGCGTTCCAGACGGCCGCAGAAGCGCATCTGACAACACGCGATTCGGTGACCGCCTTTGTTCGATGGCTCAGCCAAAATCCGCTGCGAGGATGCCCGGAGTTCACGTGATGTTTCATGCTCCTTTGGCGAGATAAGCGAGGTATCGTGGTTCATTTGTGGCAAACACTTTGTGTGTAATGAGCGCGACATTGCGATGCAATTCGTTCAGCAACCGGAAGGCAACGCAGCTCGGCGAGCACTTGGGACGACCGTGTTCGGACCTTGCAGTGCCCGACACGACCACGTGCCAGTCCGGGCGATGATTTGTCCAAAGAGTCACAGGGTGAATACATGGGGTTGATATCACAATCCGTGCAAGCTAAACACCCCCCCCACCTCCACGGTAGCGCGTATGAGGAACTGCCGTGCCAACGTATTGTATATCTTGAGATACGCTCACACTTAGATGCTGTGGTTTTACATTGTTTTGTGATTATACATACGCACTTTCTTACATCTATGCGCAGCATATATGGAAAAATACCACCTGCTGATCCCATATTTAATTAGGGGCCGTCCATAAATGACGTCACGCGATTTTTGACCATTTTTGACCCCACCCCCTCGTCACACGGAGTCACAAAAAGTCAGACCCCCCAAATATGACGTCACAAAGCTTTGCCCCCCCCCCCAAAATATATAAAACATGCTTCAAATCGCTTTAAACTATTGTCATTGTAGTGCGTATTTAATGTGGCGCTGCACTCTGTTGTAAGAGAAAACATTCATTAAAAAGTCTATTTAATTAAGTAGAACGTGTTGTCTTTATTTATTTAAAGTTGCGCATTTTGATGTGACGTCACATTTCTCACCCCCCCCCCCCCTCGTCACACGTCGTCACAAATGTCTGACCCCCCCCCCCCCCAGGTGCGTGACGTCATTTATGGATGGCCCCTAAGCAGTATTGGTTCGCCTTTTGGTGGCTAAAACGTTACTCAGCTTTTGACGTGGGAGCCTGTGGGTTAACGACGATCGTTTTACGAGTTTCGCTGACCGAAAAATTTTCGCGGAACCTATCGCGCTCGTTAAGCGAGGCACGCCTGCATTCGTGTTGTCGTCGTCGAGTGACTCGGCTATGAATATCTCATCCCTAATCAACAACACTTCCCACCTTTCCCATGGCCCGTGTTGTATCTTTGTTCATTTACCGATCCAAGAAACGCCAAGTCGTGTAGTGGTTAGCACGGTGGTGTTCTCGTGCACCCGGCGAACTGAGTTGGGATTCCCGATCACGATCAATAACTCGGTCGACTTCGCCCCCAAATGAGTACCTGCTTCGGTGTGTCTACGTCAGCACTGGGGAGACAAAGACGGTCGGGCGAGGTGATAGCCGCCCACCCCCTCGTGTGCCGTGCCTGTCTTCAGAGATGCTCGCTAACAGCACTTGCCCCAAAAGTCTGTTAAAGGCTATAGGGGCATCTTTGTCTTTGCTATTCCACGATACGCCGGACGGACGTGTGTGTATTTGCTTGACTCACGGTGTACCCCGTTCTTTATTCATCGAGCCCCGTGTTTACGACATCACAGCAAGTAGGCTGTGCAATGGATTGACGAATCAGTCAATGTGCTACGGAGAAGGGCCGTTGCCCGAAACATCGCCTATGATTTCGAATTAAAGCTTTCGTAACTGCAAGGATTCATCTTCTTTGGTTCTTTCGGTAAAGTCACGTAGAATGAGAATAACATTATTAATTAATAAAATAACACAATAAAATTCTCACGACGTTTCGGCCACAACACAAGTGGCCTTCATCAGGTGAAGGGACGAGACTGTCTCGAGGACAGCGCTGGAGCGAACACAGCCAAGCTCAGACCGCGACCTTTAAGCTGTGAGAAGAAACGTCGTGAGAATTTTGTGTTATTTTATTTTATTAATTTATAATTGTATTATCATTCTACGTGACTTTACCGAAAGAACCAAAGATGTCGCCTATGATATACGCAGATTCATACCGCAGGTGGTACTTGACCGTAGCACAATACGCGGCGCCGTCTTGCTTCGCAGCGGACGTGAGATAACTCCGCGACGTCGTTCGCAAGAGTGGGCCACGCTGTGTGCCGGCGCCGTGGCCCAATTGTGGCCAACTTTGAAATGAAAACGAAGAATGTACCACCGCCAAATGACTCAATTGTGGCATCGCACACGGTAGCAACCATCGCCCACCACTCCCCTCCCCAAACTGCTAAAACCTTCCAGGTCCCTCTTGAAAATCAGTCACGAGACTGTGAAGCTTTCTTGGGTTAAGCACGCAATACAATACAAAAATTCTTTTCAAGGCCACGGTGGTTTGAACAATAAAAAATGTGGGGTGTTTTTTGTGCTCACGCGTCACTGTCGAGGGTAGCAGCAGCAACGAGAATCACCAAATTCGTCTCTCGGCGTTAATTCAATCCTACGGCTGCGTCTCATGGCAAAATGTTCATGAGCGAAAATACCGAAGTCTGTTGTCTACTGCTGGCGAGAGGGCTTCAGGAGAGTTCGGTTAGGTTGGCTGTTCCTCCTCCTCAATGGAAAGAGCGCAGACTACAGTGGGTTATTTACTAACTATACTGTAGTAACTATACGGTAAATACTTTGGGTTGCTGGTCACAGTGTCATTACTGTGGCTTGTGCCTTTGTTGTTGACGTTAGCAGGTCGAACTCGTTCCACACAAAGTGCCTGCCACAAATTCACCACGGCACCCTCGCTGATCTCGTCAAGAAGCATACACGATCACGCGAACTCCGCTCATCCTCGCAGGAGCGGATTTTGACTGGCCGTCGAACAAAAACGGTGTTCACCGCATCTGCGTTCCAGACGGAAGGGAAAAGTGGCTTCCGATATTCGGAAGCCACTGGGTGCTGGGCACTTTCAATCACCTCGAATGAGAACTCATTCCGTGAGAACTGCTTTTTGTGTTCAGTTTGTTGTCCTTCCCCCGCGCATCCGATGAGCACGGCTGTATACGTACGGTGCGAAAGAAATTATACAATGTTCCACGTGTGAAGGAGACGTGCATTTATGATCCGTGGCAAGATTATCAAGCAGTGCCCTCTACCGGTGTCTGGTGGCAACTGGACATTCCACATTACCGCTCCCCCTCCTCCCTCGCATTCCTTTCACGTTACACATGTGGCTCGCAGCTCGATGCCCGCCCCTTATAAACATCCTTGTCAGAGAGCTCATCCACAAGGCGGGTCGTCCACTCTTGCTGCTACTGCGAGTACAGAACAAACCCACCCTGTTAAACACCGTGACATCAGCCTCCTCAACGCAGTAAATACGCCAAGCGCTAGCGCCATCTATCGGGAGAAATTAGGTTTTAAATGCATACATTCCTGAGTCGGGGATTAATTTTTTATCATCAGCTGTGACGATAACAATCGTAATGTTTACGTTATCTTGCTTTGATTTGTCCCGAGTTACAATCTTATGCATGAAAAAATAAGAATAGCTTTCGCCCCTTCTGGAAATAAAACAATGTGTTAAAAGATGTTCAAACACTAAATAGAAACCTTTTTCCAAGGAATAATATCTGCACTAACCACACATACTTGTGGTGAACATGCAAACAAAATACGCCCCGATACTGGTAGGAACCTCCTGGTTACACCACCAGCCCACAGGGGATTATTGTGTCCGTCCGTCCGTCGTGCATCCAAAAATGGGAGGGGTGGGGCTGGGTGGGGAGGGGCTGGGTGGGGAGGGGAGGGTGGGGATGATTGCTTGTGTTGCAATCAAAACGTCGTGATTTAATTTATTGTTTTTTCACCTACGTGACTTTACCGACAGAACCAAAGAACACGAGTTGGACCATCTGTAAATATAGATTCGGTTTTCCCAAGCTGGGGAGGCGTTCATCTTTCCTGACCATCCTAAACCAGCAGCTGCCATTAAACGTACCTAACGACACAACCGCTGTAAAACCCCATAGTGGTACTTGTTTGTATCAACCCAAAGCGATGGGCTATATCAACACCCCCCCAAACAGGAATGTTAAGTTGCAACGTGCCGATTACGGAGCCACAACATTGTAATGCTTTACAACAACAAAAATGTAAAAAAACATTTGCGGTTCGATGCATAAAACCGCTCGCATGCACATTTCCCAGGAATTCCCCAGGAAAAATAATTGTACCGGGAAAATCCTCACTCGTGGCGTTTAATGCAACCAAGCCATTGGTCAATAAATACAATACGCACGCGGGCTGTCGTATATTATTTATACATGCACAAAGTGGGAAGAGAGAGACTGAACAGAAAGTTGATTCATGGTTTTCACACGCACGTTTATGCTTGACACCAAACGCCTGCGATTGTAAGGGGCCGTCCATAAATGACGTCACGCTATTTTGGACGATTTTTGACGCCCCCCCCCCCCCCTTCGTCACACGACGTCACAAAAAGTCAGACCCCTCCCCCCTCAAATATGACGTCACAAAGCTCTGCCCCCCCCCCCCCCAAAAAAAATATATAAAACATGCTTCAAATCGCTTTAAACTATTGTCATTGTAGTGCGTATTTAATGTGGCGCTGCACTCTGATGTTGTAGGAGAAAACAATTTTTTGAAAAGTCTATTTAATTAAGTAGAACGTGTTGTCTATATTCATATAAAGTTGCGCATTTTGATGTGACGTCATTTCTCAAACCCCCACCCCCCCCTTCGTCACACATCGTCACAAATGTCTGACCCCCCCCCCACCCCAGAGGTGTGTGACGTCATTTATGGACGGCCCCTAAGGCCCTAAAAGAGTTGATACATATTCTTGGTTCTTTCGGTAAAGTCACGTAGAAGGGAAACAAAATAATAAAAAAAATATAAAACAATAAAATTCTCACGACGTTTCGACTGCAACACAAGCAATCATCATCAGGTGTGAAAACCACAGCAAGACTTGTGTTGCAGTCGAAACGTCGTGAGAATTTTATTGTTTTATATATTTTTTTATTGTTTCCCTTCTACGTGGTGACTTTACCGAAAGAACCAAGAATATGAATCCCTGCAGTCACGAAAGCTTTAAATCAGAGTTGATACAGTTAACACGGCACACCAGGCATAACTGGACATGACCTGTGCTTGGCCGTACACATGCCCGCTTACTGAACCAAGAATGCAGAGTTGGTACAGAGGGTCCCCGATATACGTCTGGGTTTGGGACCGGAAAGTTGCGATTTATAACGAAACAATGCATAACGGAGGACTTCCCCCATAGGAATGCATGTTAATGGTGGGGGGGGGGGGGGGGGGGTAGGGGCCTTAGCAGCGTAAACATTGCCAATGCGACGCAAAGTGGGGCAATTTCTCCCATAAGAAACAATGGATAGGGACCATAAACTTATGGAAATATTGCGTTTCATACCGAGCAACCAAAATACGTACTTTACATGTATAGAACTGTAATGTACATGTACTGTACATGTACTGTAATGTACTGTACAGTACCTGTACTGTACAGTACCTGTACTATACAGTACCTGTACTATACAACACAATGTACACATTTAGAACCAATTCTGAGTTCAAGAGCCGTTAAACAGCAAACAGAATTCATACTTCTCAAACAACTAAATTGAAAACCATTTTTATGAGCGTTTCGAAGCAGCCCTGTAACACTTTAAAAGTTTGCCCCTTTTTTAATACAAAACGTATTCGTGACATTTTTAAAGTAATGACTCAAAACATAAAACCACTTGTGTTTTAAAAAAAACGCACAGAATCTTAAACATCGTGTTTAAAAAGACGTTAACAATATTCATGTTCTTGACCTCGAAGAGTGCATGAGTAGAAGGGTTGCGACGATATTTTGCGATAAACGTCTGCGCTGATTACAATGAGCACTCGGAGCTACGCACGCGAGAGAACACGGTGGGACTGAGATGGCGGAGCATGCGCGAGTTGTGCAGTACATCTACGACCCCCCCCCCCACACACACACAAAGCCAAGTTCAGCTTCGTCAAGTCGAAAATTATCATCGAAAACAATAATCGTCACCGTCACTGGTGTTGTTGGTGAGCGGGAATCGATGTCGGATCACCGGGCTCGTCGCGCAGCGTAAGCACTGACCGCTACGCACCCCCCCACGCACAATGTTTTCGACTCAGCTCGAACGGAGTCAAAGACGACGGAAAAGCGGGGAAACGTTACGTTGCGGTCCTCAAAAAGCCAGCGTTGCGAGTGCGAAACGACGTATATCGAGACGGCGTATATCGGGGACTCCCTGTACGATAGTACCCAGAGAAATTTGGTCTCTTATTCATGACAACGTATTATTGGATCTATAGTCTTATCTTTAACCAAGGGGTGTCCCAAAACACACATTTCAATGGCGACCTGGGTGGAATAGTTACACAGAGAGGGTTATTCATCGTTTTTAGTTGAAGGCAATGTTATGATAGGGGGGAGAGGTTACACTCACAAAGTGGCCTGGCTTTTTAAATGGCTTCTAAAGGTGTTTTTAGTCTGTCCCTTACAGCTTTTGTTTCACATGATAACACTTGGGACAGCAGGGGGAACTGGACCATTGACCCAGTAACTCGGTGGCAAGATGCTATCCAGCACCAGTTTACGCAATAAGCCGAATCAATCAAAAGACCAAAGTCTCTCTGCTGAAGCAATGGTCGGTGGTCATCTCTGTTCACAGATTTTAGCCAGTGGTGCCATATCCACATTCACAGGACAATGAACATCGACTTCCTGCAACGTGGTACTAATTGAACAATTCTGGAGAAAATGTAGCCGTTATCGGTGAGCAATAATAATGAGCGCGTTACACGCTTGTAATGCATGACATTTTGATTTATTTAGTTGTGTTGGGTGGTGGAGGGTTTCATGACAAAAACTTGGCAACATCACAACTTGGGCAAACCCAAACCATTAATTATTAATAATATTGGCTGCGAACACCTTACACGTTAAGAGAACGTAATAACCGTTTTTAATGGGCGAACCAGGACGCAACGTTGGACATCTCTTTCCCTACACACATTATTAGTTTTAGAGTTGTCCATTCCCACCAGCCCACTTAGAGATGGTCTAGAGCTCTGGTGAATGAGGGGTCATAGATTCCCTCGGGAGGAGGGGCAGCAAGGATCCGTACGGGGGTGGTGAGGGGGTGGGAGGGGGGCGGTTTGCCTCTGCCTGCGGCTGCTGCGCTTCCACGCCGATGCCCGTCCCCGCGACACGCCTGCACCGCCCCGAAAAGGCCTAGGAGCCGGCCTCCGACTCCTGGCCCAGCGCCTCCAGCAAGAGCCCCATGGGCGTGCGCTTCAGGCCGATGTTCTCCATCTTGTTGCTGAGCTTGTTCTTGAGGTTGCGCAAACGCAGCGATGCATGGATGAGCACCACTGGGGGGGAAGGGTACACGCGGAGCAGCACGGGGCGAGTAGTAGGCGCGCACACTCACAGAGTCCTTCCCCCAAAGCAGCCCTAAACAGATTGTAGGGACTAGTACTGCTATCACAGTGGTGGCCAACACCACACCCAGATGCCTTGTCTCCCTAACAATGGACGGAGGTAATTATTCAAGGCTGGGTCAACCTAGGGAAAGCCCAGGGCCTGTTCCCATATCACTTAATGATGTGAGCTGGGAATCAAACTTAGGTCTCCAAGTTCATAGCGCAATGCGCCAACCACTTTGCACTTCGCCATGAGTACAAATATTCCCCGTATAGTGTCAATAGACTGTTGGGTCAAGAGCTGTTCGCGAGCACCTACAAAGGCCAACACTGCACATGAGGGGGTGGGTGGCCAGCACCACATCGCACCAGCTAATGATTTCAGGTGAGTAAGCCTAGGGGAGGCCGAGTACTGGTTCAGATAATTATCACTGGTGTTGGTAGCCGTGAGTGGGGATCGAACTCGGGTCGTTGGGTTCGTAGCGCGCTAACCACACAGTCTTCAAGACACAAATGTAAACAAAAAGCATAAATAGTAGCAGCTCTTCCTCAAATGTCACTCCTGAAACACTTCAGCTAGGTTGGTGGATAAGCGCTGTAGGTTGGTAGACAGAAGGATAAGAGAGTAGGTAGGTCGGTAAATTAGTGAAAAAATAGGTTATGGGGAGGAATTCTAAAGCAGAGAAAAGTGCTGTGACCTGCTGTGTGGTGAGTGTGTGGGTTCGTGAGCCAGTGAGTGTTTGAGCGAGCGAGTGGGTTTTTGTGATCTACAGTGAGGCGATTGAATACAGTGTGGGTGAGACGAAACAGTCAGTCTGGTAGACCCCATCATGGGTGAAGGAATCAATTAATGAAATTCATGAGACAAGTGAGGAGAGAGAGAGTGACTGGCCGAGTGAGTCGGCGAGCGTTGGTTCATCAATAAACCCGACTGCTTTGCGGGGATCGATTAGCGCCGTTCTTTCGCTATGCGAGTTATGGTGCTCACAGAGTAGCGGGAAGGTGATGCCGAAGACAAAGACCAGGATTCCCCCGAGCAGGTGCAGCAGCATGGCGCTGGCCACGAGCACCGCGCACACCGCCAAGCCCGGCCGGTTGCGCTTGAAGCGGCGCACGGTGGTGCGGTTCTCCGAGGCCAGGACAAAGGCCAGGAAGACGATGGCCACCACCGCCCCACCGATCATCATCTCTAGGGGGCGCATGTACCTGCAGGTGTCCGGCAGGAAAAACAAAACACAGAGCTGGTATTGTATTTATTCATCCAAAGCAGAGGGCCGATTGAACTGTGTTCGTCCAGAGGCGATTGTCAGTGTTCTTTGTATTTAAAATATGGTAAAGGTGCAACACTGTAATTGCTCACAGCGCTACTGGTGGAAGGGCTTTTACTTTGAGGGCACTCGAGAGGGGGGATGCCGGTCATCTCTGCTGGTGGCGCAGAGAAGGAAGTGAAAATTCCATAATTCTGTAGGCGGCAGAGGGGGGGCAATCTTTCCCGAAAGAATAAATGTTGACAAGCTACATAATAGTACTCATTTTATTGTCTCGAGATGAATTAAAGGCTGAGTTGATCCTCCAACCAGCAGTTGAACTCGTGACTCTCTGATTCCGAGTAAAACGCTATGACCACAGCACCACCTGTCCGGATAATTAAAAAAAAACGAGCTATGATTAACACACTGGCTCAACTGAGAGCATTCCACCCGCCTGCCAACTGTTCGTCTAAATTGTTCAATTCTACAAGGATTTGGATTAGAGCAGCTGTTAATGGGCAGTGCTAAAAATACGCACAGACTCGTAAATGTACACTCAAAACAGAGAACCAAATAAAGCATTAAAAATATTATACATGGCCTCCTTACACATTCCAATACTTTTTGTTGGCACATACAGATTATGGTCAATGTTTAAGGAATGTATTTACATTGAATACATTTAGGGTACGTATCACGAGCATTATAATAAGAAACAAGGTAAAGAGTGAATAATTGTTTTAAAAAATTCACCTAATCGTCTACATCCTCCCTAATGGACACAATTCCAAAGGATTGATCATTCAATTACCGGAGCTCCTCTGTAATATCTGCACTGATAAATTACATCACGCTTGTTGCAAAGGAACATGTAAAAATCTGTATAAGTAGGCGATATCATATATAGTATCCGAAATCCCATGTCTACATCATTGTCGACTAAATTGCTAAACGCATACAGTATCTATATATAGACAGTATCTACATCTACATAGCCAATAAATGAAATATATATTTTAGATAAAGCAAAACAATCATTGAGAATATGTTTTCCCCTTTTTTCTGGCAACAAAACAGGTGTTAAGATGTTAAAACGCCAAACTGAAACCTTTGACAAGGAATCATGTCTACATTAACCACAATACTTGTGGTCAGAATGCAAACAAAAAAACACTCTGATAATATATACATTTCGATTTTTTTCGATGAAGGCCGCTTGTGTTGTGGCCGAAACGTCGTGAGAATATTATTGTGTTATTTTATTTTATCAATTTATTATTTTATTCTCATTCTACGTGACTTTACCGAAAGAACCAAAGAAGAATATATGCATTGTCCTTGAAACTGACTGGTCCACGTCAGAGACCGCTTTCTTTTGAGCCTCGTCTCAAACGGTGTTAGACCAGAGGACGCCAAAAGGCGCCTTTTGGCGTCCTCTGGTGAAGGTGTATTGCCTGATGCTTTATTTTGTTCCATAAAAGAATGTCGCTCTTGCAAAAAAAGAAAATGGATCTCCATGTGCGCTCATCTGATTAAATCAAGGTCGGTGAATTTGATTTGGAGCGACAGCATCTCATTGAACTCATGCCGCTTCAACATTCAATACATCATTGAGATTAAGTGCTTGCAGAACTCCTTAATGTCTGAGTTACTGTACAACTTGCCACTTTATTGCCTCTCAAACTGTAAAATAGCGGCATTTAAAAATAAACGGGTCTTTTGTTTCCTATTGTTCCTACATTTAGGGGAAGGTCTTCATAAAACAATTAGGCAGAATGCTCTGTCTGGTGAGACTTTTAGACAACCCAACTCGGAGACAGACCAGTCTCTGATGAGACCTTTATGCAATGACGAATTTACAGACGCGGTCTCTGAAGAAATATATACAGACTTAACAATCACATTGGTCTACATTGGGATATTTTATACAAATAAACGGATGGATCGGTATCTCATGGGATTATTACGCAAGAGGACTGATTTACTTCCCATTGTTACCGGGGGGGGGGTCTCTTCAAAACCAGACTTGGCAGCTGGTTTCGAATCATAGGGCCCTCTGAGGCAGTGGTCTATCGGACATGAGATCGACAGGATCTCAACTCTGCAAGACATTCTTAAAAGTAGTGATTATTCAACGTATTGTTCAACGCACACTCGCGTGTAAAATGCCGTGTCGTACTCGAGAAAACAAGCCGACGTGAATGCAGCTTAGATACTTTTCAGCACGTAGGCATTCAACAATTAACAATGTGTAAATTTGAGGGTGAATGGCTATTGGCGTTATCGCAAATCTGACCGCGTCACGTCAGCCACACCCATCGATTCACTCACGCCGCAGCCGTTAATAATAAACTCACGCAAGTTCACCGTACAATACTTTATCGAGAGCAAAATAAAACAAATAAAAACCTTGACAAAATCAAACTCTCCCGTAATTCTTTAACAACCGTTATTTGCCATCGTTAAACAACGTCGATCCCGGGACTCGGGTGGCGTGTCGCGGCCCGCCTCATCCACGGCGGCGCCACCCCTCCAGGCAAGACCGAGGCTGCGCCACTCCCGTAAACGGCGGGCCTAGGCCGCGCCGGACTAACCCGACGAGCAGCATGACGGCCACGATGGAGGCGGCGTAGTTGCTCTGGTAGTACAGCAGGTTGTTGATGATCCTGTTGTTCCACCTCGCCGGGTCGCTCATGTCCGGCGCCCCGAACCGCGCCACGCCGAGAACGAAATCGTCCGCGGCTCGGAGCGGCGGGAAGCGCACGTCCGCCATGATGGGTGAGGAGGAGTTGTGGTCACGTGAGCTCGCGGTTCTTGCGGTTCCACAAAAGAAAAGACAAAGATGCCCTTCCCCCCGGTGTAGCCTCACACAGAGTGTCGGGGCAAGTGCTGTTCGCTAGCAGCAGCTATGTCTCTCTCTGTCTCTCTCTCTGTGTGTCTCTCTCTGTGTGTGTCTCTCTCTGTGTGTCTCTCTGTGTGTGTGTCTCTCTCTCTGTCTCTCTCTGTGTCTCTCTCTCTCTCTGTGTCTCTATCTCTGTGTGTGTCTCTCGGTGTGTGTCTCTCTCTCTGTATCTCTCTGTGTGTCTCTCTCTGTGTCTCTCTCTGTGTGACTCTGTGTCTCTCTCTGTGTGTGTCTCTCTCTCTGTCTCTCTCTCTGTGTCTCTCTCTCTCTCTGTGTGTCTCTCTCTGTGTCTCTTTCTGTGTATGTCTCTCTCTGTGTGTCTCTCTCTCTGTGTCTCTCTCTCTCTGTCTCTCTCTCTCTGTCTCTCTCTCTCCAAGCTTGCATTCATTCACACCTGATGACGGTTGCTTGTGTTGCAATCGAAACGTCGTTATTCTATCATTTATTTTATTTTATGTCTACGTGACTTTACCGAAAGGACGAACGAGAAATTCCTGCAGTCACGAAAGCTTCAAATCAAATTTCGATTTAAAGCTTTCGTGACTGCAAGGATTCATCTTCTTTGGTTATTTCGGTAAAGTCACGTAGAATGAGAATAAAATAAAATAACACAATAAAATTCTCACGACGTTTCGGCCGCAACACAAGTGGCCTTCATCAGGTGAAGGGACGAGACTGTCTCGAGGACAGCGCTGGAGCGAGACAGTCTCGTCCCTTCACCTGATGAAGGCCACTTGTGTTGTGGCCGAAACGTCGTGATAATTTTATTGTGTTATTTTATTTTATTATTTTATTCTCATTCCACGTGACTTTACCGAAAGCTTCAAATCAAGTTTCCTCCCCCACCCCCCCAGGTGCGTGACGTCATTTATGGACGGCCCCTTGGGTGTGCCAGCACCACGCCCGGCCGCCTTTGTCTCCCCCGGTGGCGATGTTTACACGCAGCGCCAGGTGCTCGTTTGAGGCTGCGTCGACCGAGGAGTGGAGGCTCAGGACCGGTGCAGATGCTCGTCACTGGTGGTGGTTGTTGGTGGCCGTGAGCGGGAATCGAACTCGGGTCGTCGGGTTCGTGGCGCTAACAGCTGCGCCACCGCTGCCCGCACACACACAAAACCCAAATCCTCGTGTACATTGTGCCAAATAAAAACCCATCAGCGGTGCCTGAAGTACTTGCATTATACTGTTTGGTTCATTCGGTAAAGTCACGTAGGTATAAAATAAAATAAATCATGACGTTTCGATCGCAACACAAGCGGTCGTCCTCAAGCGGAAAAAATATAATCCAGCATCCGCCATGGTTCGCCCAGTGGATGCGTTTTATGGTGGACCATGAGCTTCGTGGAAGATTACACCCAGGGATCTTCTGCATTGAGTCATTCACACAATGCTTTTGAGTTATTTTGAACTCCATTCAGCTTCCCAAGCTCCATCGGATTTGAATTCGCATTGTTTAAGGCGAAGCGCATGGGTCCAAAAGGGCTTTACCTGACTTCAAATGATTACGAGGGACCTTGTTGAGGTCCTGGTGAATGGGAAGGGGCGACTGTTGTCCTCGACTCGCAGCACTTCCCAGAGGCTTGCAGTGTTGCGGCGAATGGGTGGGGGAGAGATGTGGAGCAGCACGGGCTGATCCACCACATTGCAGTGTTCAGTTGGACATCAACAAGTCGAGTGGTGACTACTTCTGGTCCATACTGGTGAACAGTATTCGGCAACAGAGCACACAAGGGCCATCGCTGATAGTCCGTAGCACTGGTGCTGATGCTGCCCAGCGTGTGCTTGGCAGTTTCTGGACCAGGACTACCCTTGTTTTGGTCTTGGAGGCTACCTTTTTGAGGTTGTCATGGAATGTTAGCGTACGGTCCAGCTTCACTATAGCGGCCCTCCGGTCGGGATCGTGAAATATTAATATGGCTTAGGGAGGTCTTTATCCAGCAGTGGAATGACCATGGAGGATGATATTGCTGACGCGTGGAAACAAGTCGTACGGGTATTAGACTTGCAGCTACGAGCAGCACAAATCATTCAAGGCAATATTTAACAAATAATTGATTCTTGTATTGACAACCCCAAATTACTATTGTGAATGGAATATCCAGGGTGGTGGATTGTTAGCCCCCAATAGCTTGAGTGGGGCCAACATTGAGCATCAGAACACTTGGTGTCAATTCAGCGTCGTAGTGATGGGCCACTCGATGACTCAGAAACCAGGGGTGAGGCGAAGTGGCCCCAGGGTAGGAAGTACAAACTCAAGTGCTCTTTTCTATTACCAGTAATGAAACCAGGGCACTGACCCACCTCTACTGGACATCTGTGAAAAAGAGCTTCGTATCTCATCAGATTCCTCCAATCTAAATAATAATTCAAATTTATCATGCGCATTCCATCCTAGGATCCCAATGCGCAATGCACTACAAGCAGTAAACAAAAGCATAAACAGGGCAACTGACCAAACTAAAGAGGGAAGGCCACTTTAGAGCGATGGGTTTTCAAAGCAGACTGAAATAAACATTCTGATTCAGCGACTATAAATGTGAGAATTGTAGGCTCGAGTGAGAAAGAGGATGTGAGCTCTGAGCCAAGCCTGGGTTGACGGACCTGGCTGGGAATTAAACAGATCATTCGCAGGAGTGACCACGTGTGAAGCTGCAGAATCATATATGTACATGTGAATATTGCATTGATCAACAGAAGCACCGAGACTTTGTAAATACATTTCAAATAAAATTAGTTTTTTTTAAATTAGTTTTACAACTGTGATTCCATCTCTCCGTGGTATGTTACATGTACATCAGAATTTGTGCAAGTGTGTATCTTATCTTAATGATATTTATATAGTGCCTTTAACCAGGCGCTGTACAGCAATTATAAAATTGTACATAGCATAACAATAATTTGAAAAAATACATTGAAAGGTAGTCAGCCAGCATTGCATTGGAAAGACAAAGGGGGGCGGGGCGAGGGGCTGGAGCCAGGAGGGAAGAGGGGGCCACGGCGATGGAGTCCCCCGCACCACCGACGATGTCCACAATGTCCATGCAGTGCAGCGGTGGAGTCCTGGCCGGGCCCGCGACAAGGACCCGCAGCCTCGGCCCGGCTTGCTTGCCACGGACGCGAAGCTTCCCTCCGTGCCCGGCATGCTGATATGGTGAAGACTCCCCCGGCAGGAGCTCGACCTCCCACCCTTGTGACCGCACAAAGCCCCGATTGTCCTGGGGCTGCCGATGCCTCGGCAGCCATGTGGCCCGGAACAGGAGCCACCAGACGCGGGCGACGGAGCGGCCCACCGGTCTCGCGGGATGGCGCGGAAGTCGCACGGTGCCGGCGATGCCCGGTGGGCAACCGCCGGCAGCCAGGCCACCAAGTAGAATCGCCCAGTGGGCGCGGGACAGGCAGGAGAGGTGGTCGGGGAACGGCGCTAACAGCACTTGCCCGATAAGAAGTCTGTTAAGGCTATACAAAAAAACACTCTGATAATGTATGCATTGTCTTCAAGACAATGCATACATTATCAGAGTATGTTTTTTTTGTTTGCATTCTGACCACAAGGAATTCCAGTACCGCTCACAGCCAACAGTCCTGGGTCTCCTGTGGGTTGACTCAAACTCAAATGAGGACATGGTGAATGCAAAAAGATCGTCACTCGGGAAACAAAGGCAGCCGGGCGTGACCACTATGCCGGCCTTGCCCCCAACAATCTGTTTTGGCTAAACGAGGGATCATTAAATTTCGTGAAGGGTTGAAGATGGGAGCAGGGAATGCGATATGACGAGAGATGTGATCATGTGAATTCATAAATGTTCGGGGTGAAGAGTAGGAGCGGGGGAGGGGTTTGTCGGGGAAGGGAGTTGCTGTCCACGACTATTTACGCTTCCTCCTAAATCTAAATTTTGGCATTTTTTTCTTGAAAGTCGCCTTGAATTTGCTGTGCAGTTTCTTCGCTTGCGTCCTCTTATTCGCCAGGAATTTCTTGAACTTTTCTTTCCTTTTGCCTGCAAGGAGACAGATCGCGTTAAAGGGAAACAACTTAACAATGGTGAGTAATTGGAATGAATCAGTTATCAGAAAAGTATCAATGGACCGATCTGCTTTATGTCAAATTATATCGGTGAAGTTAGAGCTGCAGGCTCTGGCCCAGTCTTACGACTGTTGTCACATCTACTGACGAAGGATTTGTTCATGAAAGAAAAAAATCGAACGTTTTCAACTCTGGCCAGATTAGTAATGTAGAATTGCATGACTATTGCAATTCAATGTTCTGCTAATGTTTACGAGTGGTGTACCATCATGAAGGCAACATGTAAAACACAACTCCCGTTTCCAACCGAGTGGCGGTGAAGTCACCGCGGCACGTGGTGCCACGCTACGTGCATTTTGACGCCAAGTGAAATGCCGAAGCCTCGCTGGCAGGACGTCATGGAACAGATCCAGGTGCAGTGGATTGTCTGAGATGTACCTATGTTGAACTTCTTTGTACCATACATAGCCAACCGTGCTAATCGGAGGTGCGAGACGACTGGTAGATGCACACACACACACACACTTCTCTCACCTGACTTCACTTTCTTCTGCTTATGGTGCGTCTTATTGCGGTCATCACCATCGCCATCTGTGCCGCCGCTGGTCCCTGGCTCAGGCTTCAAGCTTTGCACCAAGTTAGTGAGGATCTCCATAAACCACCCGCTTGGTGCAACGTCTTCTTCTTCATCCACAGCCCTTGGCTGCGGCATTATGTAGTGGCGAATTGCCGTGAGGGCTCGTGAGATATCGCTCCAGAGTGACGGTGGCGCGTCTTCTTCATCACTGTTCGTGACATTGGCCTCGCCACCGTCATCTGCAGCCTGTGCTGGAAGGCTGCCACAGAGAGTGCAAAAGAGAAGCGGAAGAAAATAGTTTAGACATGAAAGGTT